TTTTTGAAACCTGCATAGCTCATGACTTCAACATTTTGAGGTAGTTATTTTGACCATGGCATTTATTTCTGACATTTCCACCTTCTTAAGTCTTTCCTGTTAGGCTATTTCTACTCAGTCACAGATTTGTTTGTTCTTCTGACCCTTTTTATTAACCATTAAGAACAATTCTTTCCAGTCTACAGCTGAGACATTCTGATTAAAACTCATTATTACTTCAGATGAACTATCAATTTCTAAAATAGCCTTTTATATATCATACATTATATTCCATATCATTCCTTGGGAATGTTTAATTTGCATTTTTTTATGACTGTGAAACATGGAGAAAGCGTGTCCATGAATTGTTCATTGAGAACTCTTTTTAGAGCACGTTAATTTAGAATCCAGTGTGATACATTAATAGCATTCCCTCCAATGTCATGTTAATCTGTCTTTCTGATGCTCTTTCATTCCTGTTGTCTCATTTACGTCTCCCTGATGATTCTTTTTCTTTGTTGATAAATTTAAGTGATTTTGTGCCACCATCAAATCTTGCCAGCTGCCAGCTCACCTCAGCACCTCTGCAGTCTGGGATGGAGTCTGTTAACCGGTGGGATCTTTTTGGCATGAAAACCTGAGTATTTATCCTCACCCTCATTTTCCGATAGCCAGTTTCTGCTCTGCGGCAATACTTTTCCATCATGTTCATGTAGACTGTGCTGGAAACACTGCTGGGTTTACAAACAATTTTACAACCCAAACAAAGGACTCCACAGATCAAAACAGTGTATTTTCCCCTTTACGGCAGCAAGTCAGGTTGCACTGTCACACTATTTTGTACGAGTGCGTTACTAGTATTGAAAAGCAAAACCAGCCAGGCACCGCCAGCGTGGATGGCTGTACCAGCGATGGGATATTGTATGCCACAACAGCAAGAGCCACCACCCAGGCACAAAACAAACACTTAGACCAGTGCCCACACCAGGATGAATGCAGCACAGAGGAGCTGAACGTGACCAACAACTCTAAACAGCATGACTATCATCACCACATTCTGAAGTACAGCCTCAGCCAAAATATTAAAATAATATTTGATAGCACATCTGAACCGTCAGGTTCAACTGTAAGCTGCAGCTGGTTTTATCCCCCAAACATCATAGTATCGCTGCCATACATGTACTTTCCACTTAACAGGGATACCTACAGAAATGGAATATAAAGAAGCCAAAAGCCCATTACCACCAACCTCTCAAGAGATTACTCTGAGAGACTGCGCAAGGCATCCCAGCGAGGAAGACTCACCTTCATGCTCAGCTTTACGTGTATGACTGGGCTCAGCAACTGCAGCAAGTCAGTGCAACCAGGCAGCTGTGATCTGTCTTTGCACAAACTAGAAGGGCTCTGTATTTTAGGTCAACCTTAACATACATGAAGAAAAAACTCCAGAGTTCATTTTAATATAAAATGTTTTTATTGTTTTTGAAAACATTTAAAAAACAATTTTTGAGCACTTTCAATAAAAAAAATAACTGAAATGCTACTGCAATATTCAACTACTGTAGTTTCAGCAGTACAACAGACAACAAAACACTGGGGAAGAGGGGAGAAACTGGATTTCCTGCACTAAATGAAAATGTGGAACAGGGGTTTTTCTTTCCTTACGGTGCAGTAAATAAAGCACAGTATAGTACAAGACTATTATATGAACCTCAGATGCACTGCACAAGAAACGCTTTCCTTCTTTTCAGTTCAGAAGTCAGTGCTTATTGCAATTATTTGCAAATTATTTACTTCATGAATTCTTATCATGATAAAATGATGCAAAAATGTTTTTCAACACCAGAACAATAAAAAATAATCCAAGACAGGAACATATTCAACAATAACTAAGCTGAATTAGTTAACATAAAAAAGTAAATAACTTGTGAATAACTATGCTCACCTGGTTAACACTGAACCAGTTTCAATACAGCAAAAGAATAAAAAAAATAAAAGTGGTTACAGGAATATATCTAGTACTGTACAAGATTAAGTCATTAACACTCATGCACGTTTTGTGATCATGTATTAACATGGTGAAGCAAACTAAACTTAATTTTTCCTGCTGTAATATTCTCATGTAAGAGAATAAGAAATAGAAATATCTCATTGAGATCAATGCACATTGCTACATAAGACAATTTCACCTGTCACTTTTAATGACATTTTGCCTTTTAATAATGAAACACATTAAAAAGTTTTTTTTTTGTTTTGCTTTTTTTTTTTTTTAATCTGTGGGCCGTATTTGTTGCATTTATCCTAAGGAATGTGCCTGCCACAGGTTCAACAGAATTTTAGTGCAATATATGAACCCAGAAAGTTTGCTGGATTAACCAACCAAATTTAAAGTGTTTGCTGCAATACTGTACACAGGGTACAAATTCACTTGTTTGTATACTTTAGCAAAAACTGCTATCAAAATAATTTATTTCTCATGTTAGTAGGAAGCCAATAATGTAAACAAGGGGTCAGAACTGTCTCAAATTCTTAGTTTTGGAGTATCTGACACAGACAGGCTTCCATTTGTTAGAATCACAGAATTCTCCTTTGGGTATTGCATACTTTGGTGTGCAGTAGTGCTCTGTCTCAATGTATTGTAAAGAACTAACTAGCACTAAGTACAGGGACTTAACATTATTAATAACAACACCAACACACACAACACCTCTAAAATAATACATACCAATGTACAAAGCTGTGCCTGTGCCTTGGATTTTACTTGAAACAATCCTTACTGAATTTAACACTCCTTAAATTAAACATATATTTGCTTTAAATCCACTGATTATAGAAGAATTTCTGCTGATTAAGTCACATTAGGCCCAATGTAATGCTCGTATTTAAAAATAATTTTAAACGCACTTTTAAAAACCTTTGGTGACGGCTGCATAATTTCGAACACATCAGCTTTAAGTCTACTCTTGCTTTTCTGAGTAATGTTCTTAAAAAAACTAGTAGAGTTAGGCAAAAACTTATTTCCCCCAAGCCCCCCTCAGTCTCAGTGTTAGGGACCTGGAGGCGGGACCAGCATGTCACATGAACGCATGGGCTGATGCATCACATCTGTGACTTCTCCCCGCAGCGCCGGCGCTCACGTCCTCCCCCAAGCCTCTCCATCGGAAGGTAGGTTTCACCTATTCACAGTAGTGCTGGCACTTCACATGGGGTCAGGGAAACAAAGCGAGGTGCTCAGTGTCTCTCAGACCCATAGAAGTCAACAAGGTAAGAGGACGTTCAGCACATCTCTGGCAAAAGGCCATGGGCAGGTACAGAACTCAAGCCCTGCCCTCAGCAACTTTTGTCTAGAAGAAAAAGGGTTCAAGCCTTACTGACAGACACCTGGCAAGATAACAAGCAGAAGGCAACCATGCAGTTTTTAGTCTCCTCCCCATTTCCTTAACAAAACTGAAAAGGGTCACTTGGTCTTAAACGAAGCAAACCACACCATCGCACATCCATGTGCTTCAAGGAGGGATAGGAACTCTCCAAGTTTGTTCCTGATCAAGTGGCAAAATTTCTGATGCAAGCACAGTGAAATCAGCTTCCCCCTCCTAAGGTGCTATAGCTTGGCACAACTGTTTGTTCCTGCAGAAGAGGCCGCAGACTGGTGATCAACTGGGGTAAGAGCAAGAGAAGCCATGGTAGACCAGCACCTCAAGTGCCAATGCAGCAGCACAAGTTGAATCAGCACTGCCAAATAATTGACCAGTACTGGGATCTCAAGTCATTAGTGAAAACTGAAGAAACAGAAGATGACCAAGACACTTAAACAAAACACTCTAATCACCCGAAAAATCTGAGCATCTTCCCCTTAAGTAAATCTAGAGGGGCTTATTGTGCATCCCCCTTCAAAAATTCATGACTACTCATTCAAAGAAATAATGCAAGAGAGGAAAATGTTTTCTGCTCTGTTTTCTGTTTTGGAAGTGTAAATTCACAAGAGAAATAATCATTTTTATACCAAGCTTAAGTGATGGTATTGTAGCATCCTCAGTGCACCACTACTTTTGTAAAAGCTCGCCTCTGCAAGTCCTCTTTCTAGCCTCGGGCCATGGCTGGTTACGTACCTCTCTCTTATGACCATTAGAGATATCCATGCCATGCTGATAAAACAAAAGGTCTTTTTTGGTTCAAGTGAACTAGGGAGGCAGAAGTCTAAATCTCATTTTCCAGAGGGGCAGCTAAGGACTTCTGGAAAGAAAAAAAAATAGATTCACCAGTCTTGTCAAATCACTTATGAAAATGGAATTCAGGCTTCTAAAACAGTAAGTACTTTTAAAAGAAGTTTTACCAAAAGAAAGATCGCGTGCCTTACTGTGTATCTGTAAAGTGCCTGGCAGTATTATGGCTCTATATGAACTATTTTTAGAACAACCACATTTTCTAATATTTTAATCATCTTTTGTTTGAGAGAAAGAGAGCGAACAAGAAAGACAGAAAGGCTCAACCTACTGAAATACAGAGAAAAGAACATCTTCCTACACCCTCCACTAGGTTAGGAAAGAGAGAACTTAAAAAATGAATCTTTAAAAATAGTATTTTAATGAGCTCCAGCAGCTCTTTTATTTAAAAAAAGGAGGGAAAATACCACGTTCCTTCTCTAGCGTTGATAAATAATTAAACAGTATCTATCACTTTAAAATAGGGTGTTATGCCTAGATTAAATCTCAGTGCTCAAAATCTTTTTGCATGAATTTTACCTAATATAAAAACATCGAAGTGAGAACTAAAATATCAAGTATGTCATGAATATTAAAGGATAAAATAACTACATAGATTTATTTCTCTTAAATAAAAGATTTAGTGCATCTTTCTTTTCCCTTGATCATTCCTGTTAGTTTTTCCTATCTCTGCGTTTTACTAGAGATGGCAATGGCAGCAGTGCTGCAGAGATTTCCCACAGTTCACCACTGAGCATTGCTCAAGCTCGGGCACCTGCACGCCACCTGGCTCGCTGGTACCCACTCCCCACCACCTACCCATCTGCAGGCACCCTGCGCTTCAGACCTGAACGACAAAGGTCAGTAAGGATCACCCACTAAGAAGTAACAAGCAATACAAAGTACAGAAAGCCTACTAATGACCCTCAACCATAGCTGTCACTGTTGGCTGGCTATTAACCACTCCTTTATTTGCTACAATAAGAAATGTTGAATGGGAAACACTATAAAATCCAGATTTTAATACTGGCTCTTTGATAGCCCATCACCTTCAGAGATTTGTTTAAAATTGGTAAGACTGCCTTTTCCCTGCTGAAGAATGAGCAACGGTACAGCAAACTTTTTTAAAAATGCCACAATACATAGTAAGTGTTTCTGCTGCGGGAGGCACTTCCATTAAGACAAATACAATACGTCTGTCTTTTAGATACAGTGTGCTACATACATATTATAAAACAAGATTAACCCAACATTTCAACAGCAGGATGATCCTTACTCTCCATCCACTCAAAACCTGATGTAGTCATTGAGTTAATGGATTCATTGCAGATTTGTTGAAACAAGGGGTCATTTTTTAATTCCTCCAGTGTAGCATCATCGTCTTGTCCCTGCTGACGACCTGGATCAAACAGTAGATTTGTGTCTAAAGTGTTCAGATCGTTAATGCTGCCTGAGAGCTCGGAAGACAACCTGATGTCGCTGGAAAAGACAGATGCAACGTTATTGAAATCTGATGCCACCTGATTCACCAGCTGCTGGTTTGTTGGCAGACTGTCCTCCCCTAAAAGGTCTTTTACAGTGCTGCTAAAATCTAATTGCTGCTCTCCGATGTCTGATTGTGCTTGGTTATCTCCAGAAGAAAAACTGATCTGATCGGTGCTGCTGTTTTTTGTGAGGTAATTTGGTGTTTGGAATTCATAAACTGAAGTGCTGGAATTGATCATATTTTGTGTGTTGGCACTAGGGAAAGCGGCGGATGTCTCTAAAATCTGAGTGAGATTCATCCTGGCTGTGTAATTTGAGGGCATGTTGTTCATTCCCAAACCTCTCACTGCATCATCGCTATCAGAATCGAGTTTGTTTAACAACACATTGGTTATTTTTTTAGTGTTTGTTTGTTTCTGAAGAGACGGGAAGGCCGTCTGCATCATCACAGTCAACGGGACTGACTGGCTTCTTTGCGCTATGTTATTGGCACTGGTGTCTGCGTGGATATTAGCAAATACGCTGTGAACTTCAGGAGTCACTGGACTTCCAAAAGGTGTCAGGTTAGAGCGTGGTATATTTGAAACAGGGTAAACAGTGCTTCCACTGAGATTACGCTGGCGATGGACAGCAGGGCTCACGCTCCGGCTTCTCAGACTGTTGTTAAGAGAGGAACCGGTTCCTTTGTTGTCCAAAGGAGCAGGAACAGCAAAGCCCTCTTGCTTGGCGGTGCTACTGACGGGGGCTGCCTGGTGCTGCACAGGTGAAACAGGAGTCACCCGACCGAAGTGAGTATCATGGTGGCGTGGCTGAGATTGGTACGACTGGCCAGGAACAGCAAAAGCGTGAGGTTTCCTGAAACGGTCTTCCACCAGCTCCTGATAGCTCGTAAGGATCCCGTGGTTTGCAACTGATGAATTGCTAACACCACTGTAGCCGTTATTCATCCACTCAAGCTTGGTTTTGTCAGGATGGGTAGCCATCGGCCGCTGCATTGGCTTCACGGGGCTACTCGATATGATGCTGGCATCGTGGTAAGCCATACTGGAGCTGATGGGAGTAAAAGCAAATGGGTTTCGGCATTCCACAGGACTCGGAGGGACACTGCTGCTGCAGTTTGAATGCGGTGTGCCAATGGGCGTATGCCGGCTGCTTCCTAGAGCACTGTCTACGGGAGTCGTCTGAGCCAGCCTCGAACAAGGGCTCTCTCGGGACATGTTCTGAGATCCAGCGATCATTTCAGAGGTGGGTGTTGGAGTCGGGGTAGGGGTGGGAGTCGGGGTAGGGGTGGGGGTAGGAGTGTGAATCGGAGTGCTGTTGTTATGGATCGAATGGTAAAAGTGCGCGCTGCTTGGATGAGATGACACAGGAGCTCCTTGAGCTGCAGTCTGACTCTGAAGTGCCATTCCTAGACAACCACCATAAGGATGAGAATTATTCATGGACATTTGCTCCTCCATGAGCACCAGCTCCTCCACAATGCTGTCCTGGGTAAGGTCATCATCAAATGAAAAGAAGTTTTCGCTTGACTGAGGGACTGTATGTTCAAACTCTTTCAGCTCAGACTGCAGAGGTAACTGATTTGAAGACTGTGCTTGTATTTGACCCAAGGAGGAGTCCTGGATCTGGCTCTGTAACTGCTGGTTGTACGCGTCCTGCTGTATACCTTCGCAGTGCACTGGCTCCCACGCCGATTCCTGTAAGTCACTCGAGCCGGAGTGCCCTGCAATAGTCATAACACTGATATCTTGCTGCTGTTCACAATTCACAGATGCAAAGTCAGAGGTTTTGGTGATATGATGCCACGTATTTGAGTTAAAGCTGCCATCAGATTTTGAATCATTTTCTATGATAAACATGTTTCCTTCCAATTTCACTTTTATATCTGGAGATGATGCTGATGCAAGCTGCTGTCCTAAAGCAGAGTCACTGGTATTTAAGTTCGTGGTCAAAGAAAGGTCTGTTGCTAAGTCTGCTGCAGCTGCAGAAGGTATGGGTACCTTCACAGGTACCTTGCTGGGAACTTGAGCAAGTGTTGCTGTGTTGTCACTGTTAGCTAACAATCCAACCTTCGGAGACTTCTTAACACCGTTTGCTTTCTGACCCTCCACAGCATTACCAGCTGAAAGCTGCTCCACCAGTGGTTTCTTTACAGGTGGCACCTGGGAATCCTGAAGTGTAGAAGGCTGTCGCTTTCTTGGACTTTTAGTGCACGTTTTGTCTTTAATTGTAGACTCACCGGTAGGAGGTGAACCGATGCTGGTGCTGGACAAGTTTTGACCGGCAACTGAGAGCTTTAGAGTGCTTTGATTATTGCCTGCTGAAGAAACTGGTGTGATCTCATTAGACTGTATTTTATATTTGGTCCCCGCTTCTTCAGCTCCCTGATCACAGCCCTTAACTGGTTTTGCCTCTATGACATCATCAGCTGAAACCTTCAAGGTTGCAACCTCAAAGTTAATTAATTGAACAGGAGGCAGGTCAGGGGTTGCCTTTATGGATTTAGACACATCAGAGCTCTCTTGGCCCTGTACTGAGTTCTCATCCAGCAATGCTTCTGGTTCCATTTTGATCTTGACTGCAGGCGCAGCTACAACAGTGCTAGGCTTGGATCCTGGAGACTGAAGTGAAACAACAGATCCATTTTTGATCTGTGGACCAGTCCTCCCTTCTTCCACTGCTCCTGCACTACTGCTAACCGAAGACGTCTGTTTGACGGGCACACTACTGCTGCTTGGGGCGAGAGATATTGCTGTCATTTTTACCACATTTAAGGAATTCACATGTGGAGCTGGCACAACAGTCTTGATTGGGCTACTGGTAAAGAGCACCGTCGTGGGAGAGCGGATGGTGAGAGCACTGGTATTTGCTGGCTTCGGTAAGATCTGCGGGTAGCGATGCCGGGCAGAGCGGTCACCAACTGGGCTGGCGGGAACGTTCTGGGGAGTCTTTGGTGACTGCTTGACAGATTGCATGTGCTGAGTGACCACCTGAACGTTGAGTGGCAGGACCTTGCTATCAGACGATCCCATAGGACTTGGAGATGTCACCAACTGCCTGGTCCTTGACACCTGTAGAGAGAGAAAAAGAAAAGGTGTGGCGATGAAGCAAGAAAGTCCCCAAAGCCCACAGACCATCTCATCCCAAGCATTTCAAAGATGAAGGACAACACAGCTCAATACACCAAAGTTAGTGCATGTCAGTTTGAAACAAAACAAGCTCCTCAACTGTATACAAGACAATTTCTATTTGTCTGCCTAAGGACTGGTAGACAGATATGTGGCCTCAATTTTTAAGGCATGAGGCACTGGTCTACACACTAGTCTCCTATTCTGCTAATGAAAGTGTCATTCTCATAGAATCCTTCCCCACACGGAACAAAAAGACAGACATACAAAGGTTTAAGAGGAGAGGATGTGTTCAAAACACTGCTCGTTGTTAAGGTTTCAAAAGCGAGTTAAATACAAACCCACTATCAGGCAGAAAAATTGGCTTACCTATTGAAATCGAAAACACGGCTAACATCTTAAAAACAAATAACCATCCCTCCCTCCCGCGCAGTTTCGTATGGCTGAAAGACAAAGATGTTCCATACTACAGACATCCATACAAAAAATAAAATTGTTGCCGTCACTGAACGTGCTGGGCCAACGAAAGGCAATTCAGACTCCATATTAGGGGCTCAGCGACCCACACAACGGTGTCAGCTCTCTCATCTGGTTAAACCTCATCTCAAGGGCAATTATTCCCACATATAACCTTAATTATTGCTAGCTGAAATCCCACCATCAAGGACTTGAAAGACAAACTTGGCCTGTGCTACGTGATCAGAATTCTGCTGCCTCTGTATCGGTGCTGTAACTCATGTAGTATAGCACAGTCATTGGGACAGAAAAGCATCAAGGGACCCAAGCCTTCGAACGGAAACCATTTTTCAATCCCACTGACACCGCTGCTTAGTGACTGGCAATTTACAACCCTTTCATGAAGTGGTTTCTCTAGAGAATTGCTGGAGAACATTACCGGTATCGGGCTGGGGACAGCTGCCACAACAATACCAATCGGTGGAGGAGACAGAATTGCAGGACTTCCATTAGATATACTGGTCACACCATTGGTTGCGGTGCCTTCCGTTTTCTTTGCTGGAGACTCTCCTGGCAAAGGAGACTGCAGTTTTTGTTCTTGCTGCTTCTTCTGGATCTTACGCTGCAGCTGCTGCTTGGCATCAACAGGAGATGGCAGAGTTTTTACTTGCGGTTGAAAGGAATTACTTTCAGCAGTAGGTATAAAAGCTGAGGGCTGGGGGATCCCTTTTATTCCTGAAAAGGAGAAGAATGAATTATAACCACACGTACCCTGTCTGCTGTAGTGCCGCTTCTGTATCTAACCACACAGAATACAATGGCAGGCATCTCCACAACCATTCTGGGAACACCTCCTCCATTAGGTGCTCCCATCTACTTCATGCTCAAATATATTCAGTGTTTTGGTTTATTTCCACATTGGTAGCAAAACCTCTACCTGTTAGACAAGCTGGGCATTAGCTGCTAAAATAATATGTACTGGCATCTTGTTTCTAGGAATTCCAAACTGCAACTTTTGTGTCAGCAAATCTAAAACCCAATGCATTTCATCTAACCGACAGCAGAGGGCAGTGGATATGCTTTTAGATGAACCTTTAAAATTCATCATCTACTGTGTTTTTGTTTTGTTAACAATGTCTAAGGTGGCTTTAAAAATGAAAAATCTTTGCAGCAAGCTGTGGGTCTACGTCACACAGAAGCAGCTCTTAGCACATGGTATCATCTAATGGCAAAGGCATTAAACACAATGCATGTAATATCAGAATGGATCGTAACCCGTGTGTGATCAGGGATAATGGTGCAAGAAGAGAAGTGTCCAAAGAAAAAAGAAAAAAAGAAGGAAAAGGTGAAAAAACTATGGAAATTGGAATGGGAGAACATTTTTTTCTACAGAGAATGCCTTTGCTGATCATAAGTGCGCAAGTGGTGCTTCCAGGGAGAACAACAGGGAGTTAGTCTCAGCTGTGCATCCGGTACCAATTTTCCTTAAAAAAATCACATCACATTGACGATCTCTTTTGTTTATTAACAGCCAAGAGGATTAGCATGCTCTCTCAGTGACCAGGTTTCACAGTTTTTAAAATAACTCTTAATTATAAATTAATCAATAACACTTTAGGGCAAGTATTTGGTTTTAGATACCCAGTACATGCTTAGGACCTGTGGTCTGGGAGCCCACCCTCTCAGGAGCAATCTCCATGTACCATGAGAGTTTGAACATCACAACACTGCCTCCACTTTCACAATTCTTTCTTCACAGAGCAACGAAATGCCCAAAAGTATTGCAATTACTGCAAAACAAGTCATCTATGTGGGCTGAATACTGAAGGCAAGTAACATTTATCAGAAAAAAACAAAAAAAATTTTTCTTTGAGGGTAGAAGTTTGCTATTTCCTCAGTTAATGCACACAGACACTGTAGTTCCTTGTGATAAAGAGGAATGGGAATATTTTATTTGCTATTCTAGAAAGAACCTCTCCTGAAATGACTATGCAAGCCACAGAGGCATGCACTGGAAATAACCGCCCTTTTCCTTGAAGGAAACAATCTGCTCTTGAAGGAAATAAGGGGGAGAAGCTACAGGGGTAGAAGAGCCATATATACACCTAGCGTTTCTTCTAGCAGCACGGCAAGCAGAACCAATGAAGCCAAGCAATGACAGGTTAAAAAGGAGCAACAGGCAGCAAAACCTGCCACTGCCACTTGTCAGTTCCAAGTTGTAATAAAGGAAGGAGAAAGAACACAATCCAGAAGAGGATCACCCTAGCCTGCAGCCCTGACCACCAGTTTGCATTTGAAATCACCTGTCTCAAGTCAAGAGATTTGCCTTGATCAAACACGTTTTGCTTGACAGGCCTGCGGACAACTTCCCAGAGGGAAGTCTGGGGGGCATGTTGTGCACCTGCACTTCCCTTCTCATCTTTCATTTTTGTAATTTACTTCATCCACAGCCAGAAAAACACACTTTAAATGATTAAGTTACTGATTTTGAGTGTGAAGAGGGAAACAACACAAAAGTAGATGTACAAACAATCACATTGAACGTAAGCTTTCCCAGAGCAGGGAAATAGAACAGGAATTCATCTGATTAAGCAAAATATAAAGTAACTCTTCTCTTTACCTCGATCTTAACAAAGATCTTAACAAATCTTAATAAAGATTTGAAATCGAGTGCTGGAATCTCAGTCACGTGACTGCCCCTGGAGAAGGCTCTCCTGTCTCTCTCAACGCCCCTCAACCCCTTATTTCTAACGTGATCAATAACAGCAGTAGCTGACATGCCTGGACTACCTGACACTGATCAAACTTCTCAGGAAAATTTGCATCCAACATATCAGAAACGCCTGTAAGAAAATCTGCTCTTGAGAGAAAATTAAGACAGACAATTGTTTCCAAATTAGGAACAGTTATCAGACGGAAACACAGCTACAGCAGCAGTTTGTCTACAAACCAGCACTGTACCGGCACCAAACTCCTGATCTAGCAAAGTACATATATTCAGCACAATTACTCACATGCCCTGAAGTGCTTTAAAAGACCAGGGTCCTCATCAGAGGAATGGGAGAATCACAAACTAAATCTGAAGCCACTGCTTATTTTCAGATCTCTTTACCCAGACTACCAGCAAGAAAAGTAATTTGCAGCAATGTGGACTAAAAAATCATGTAAACGCATGCTCAACACTCAGAGTCAGCGTTTGAAGTTTGCTGTGAAGAGAAGTGCTCCCTCAAACCAAGATGTTACTACTCTTCAAAAAAAGATCCCCTATTTCATCCATTCAGTTATCTCATTACCTGCTGGTGCCCCTGCCATTACTGTTAAAGCTGCCATCGACTTGGTACCGATATAGTGACTTTTTACAAGGAAACGAGCCAATTCCAGGACTGTATCAAAAGGCTGGCTCAGCACTTTCTGGGCCCATTCACAAACAAGCCGGCAGGCCGCAGAGACGACTTCCTCATCAGCACTTTGCAGCTGCCCAGATGGCTCTGCCCCATCCAGCTAAAACAAATAAACAAAGGAGGAAAAGTTACTTTAATTACTAAGGGTCATTAAGCCATAGAAAAAAAAAAAAAAGGAGAGCAAACGATAAGAAACGCACAGAAGTTGAGTAAGTACGTTCACAGTTTTTCATGAAATTGGGAGAATAAGATCACAACATCAGTATCATTCAAAATGAAATGTCTTATCATTAATCTACTGCTTGTTTCCAACAGCATTATACGGAGCTGACATTTCTGGAAGAAAATCGCAGAGAGAATCCTAATATCTGGACCACCAACACTGGATGCTCCCTGCAGCTGGAGTCTTGCCAACTCAGCATCCACTGTCACCCAGGAACTGCTTCTTTCACTGAGGTTCCTCTTCCCTAGCACTGACTTTTTTTTTTTTTTAAAAAAAAAAAACCATAGTAAATGCAAAACAGAATCAGAGTTAAAAAGATACAGCTTGTGGGTAGCAACACTGTGAAAGTCTGCTTCACCTCCTAAATTAGTTTTTTTAATAGCACTGCAATTTGTTCTGAACTTTACAGAAACACACCAAAGAATGATTCAGAATATAAGTATCATAAATAAAAATCTTAAAAACTACACAGCTCTTCACTTTTTTTTTAAAAAAGTTCAGACAGAAAACCAACATAACAAATGTTAATTTGCAGAAATATATATAAATAAGCAAGTATGTATCATACCCCATCTCCAGTTTTATGAAAGTCGAGGTTGGGCAGTGTTGGCATATGCACAAAAGCCTTCTTCCTCAGTCCACTGTAGCAATATGTGAACAAGAATTAAGGTCTAAATCGTCTCTGCTTGTTAGCTGGGTGACAGGAGGGAAGGGCGGTAATTGCTCTGATGCCCCTCATAAGCTTTATAAGCAAACTCAACAACAGATCTAAGAATTACTCTCGTTACCATAGTCTCAGAGCCATCCAGAATCAACAGCCTATTAACAGCCACATTCTCGGGCAGGTCGTTGGGCTTCTCCATCTATGCAGTGGAGCAACTGATGCTGAGCTTGATGAATTGCATTTGATAACTTAGAACCATCACTAAACCACGGCAAGCAGTTTCAATTAACTACTCAATATTTAAATCATTAACATAAATTTGGACTAAACTCCCTTCCTAAACCAGGCCTAACACAAGATGGAGAATGCATTTCCAAAAGTTAATCACTGTTAAAAAATGTGTACCCAAATTTAGGTTTTTCTTTATTATGAGTTCATCTATTTTGCCTCTTTTTGCTAAATTTCCTGACATTTCCTTCTCCTAAGGGACTTCCACAAACTGAAGAAGTTTCCCATGACAAGATAAAGTGACTGATGAGGACATTTCTTCGTAAGATTTCACACCAGTTTTGTGGCTCTCTCCCCGCCCATGATAATTCTTCTTCTGTAAAAATACAGACACAAACACCCAGATTGGTTCTTACATTGATCTCATCAAATCAGTAAACAAAAATATACTCCCTCCACTACTCTTACTCACTTGTTCATAGGTCTAAAAAATGAAATCGGCCTTTTTTCCTCTCCACAGCATTACTCCGGGAGTTCACATACAGTGTCTCTTTCTCTGTGCACACAAACCCTTTTCAGGATGACTAATTTTTTTTTTCTGCAAATATGTCTGTATTTCTCTTTCCTAGACCATGGAGTTTGCATTTGCTTGCATGAACCTGGATGGAGCAGAATTACAGTGAAATAAAGGTAAGGAGGTTAGGAATTACGGTAAGTGTGAGACAAGGTCACATTTTAGTAATTCTGAATTAGAAACTTAGGAAACAGAACTGAAAGAGATCCCCTGGGTCAAACTACAATTACGTCATATGAGTTCTTCCTTAAAACTTCTCTAGCTCTATCCAGTACATCACTCTTAAGTTATGGACTCCACTGGTAGATAATCTAATGCTGTATTTTATGAAACAATTTAACTGACACACAGCTTCTCCATTCACTACTACATGGAAGGTTTTTTCCCCTCTGTGGAAGGCAAATAATTCTGGGCTGCCCGCTAGCATTTAATTCTCCCTGTAAGTGTGTGCTTCAAGTGAGACCTTGGCAAAGGCCAGTATTACAGAGCATCCACATCATTACTGCTAGCTCTTTTGACTGGTTTCTAATTAGAGCCTACAAGCACCTTGATGCCTTTTGGCCTTTTAACGCTCTGCCTCCCCTGCTTACTGCAGTGGCTTTGCCTACCCAGCATGGTATTAGACTTACCCTTCTCAAGGAAAGGTGTACTTCTCAACTTGGAAAAGACAAAATTCTTGCTGATGACAAAACTACTTGCTTTGAAAGTCACTAACTGTTTTGGTTTTTACTAGAACACCTCAGTGTGCTAAAGACTAGATGAACTGCAGCTCAGTCTCAGAAAAGCCTGAGAAAAAACCAACATCCTTGTAGTCTTTAGACTTGATTATTGCATTTCTTTCCTTGCAGAGCTTCTTGCCCCTACATTGAAGCAGCAGAACCACCAGTGGCATGAGCAGACTCTTTTGCACAGCATTTGCCCCAAATTCTTCACAGTGGCTGCCTATTAATTGATAACTAATCTATCCCAGATCTAACTGTGTATAGTTCTGCCTGTAACAATTATGTCTAGTTACACTATAAAGTACTTAAAAAACCTGATGTTGTCAAAGTTTGTATTAAGTTACAATTAAATGGGGTAGTAGTTTTGCACGCCCTCTGGGATGGACTGTTTCTCTAACACAGGGAAGGACATGGATTCCAACTTTGGGCACAGGCAACAAGATTCTGCAGTCAAGAGGGAGAGACAGTGCTCCCCATCCTAGGAGCTCTTGCTCTGAATTGTCTTTCCTATCTCTGGAGGTCTGCACCATGCAGTGAAGGAAGCCGTCTCCCGCCTCTGACGGCAGGACAAGGCTCGGAGTGTGCCTTCCAAGTCTCAAGTCAGCTTTCGTGACGACTTCCCAGTTCCCTCTTCTCTTCCAAGCAGTACTAACGGCTGAGGAGAGGCAGTTCTATGAAATATCCGTAGCGCAGCTTAAGAAGGATCTTTGGCTTTACAACTGACTTCTGAATTACTGGTGTGCACAAGTATAATATAAAACCAAGAAATGTTCTCATAATTCCGAGCTGTACTAGCAATAAAATATTAGTTTCTGCACAAATATAAGGCAAGTTCCTTTAGTCCTATATCTCCCTTTGCACTGATGATAAAGCTTCTTTGATTCCTCGCTGCTGTGACAGCTAAGCGTCAGAACCCAAATTTAAGTACTTGTTTCCAAAGTTGTATCTTGCAACCTAACAATACCACAGTTAATAATTTTAAAGGCCCTTGGGAAAGGGTCTGCATTTTTTATTTAACATTACTTCTACATTTAGCTGGTAGTTAAGCCATAACGACAGATGTTCTTCAGGCAAGTGCAGGAGTTACTGAGAAGCGTTCTAGCAAAGGATATTTCGATTTGCCTCTTGTGCCTAGACGACGGGCCTTCATATTCGGAAAGACATTTTTCATGATCTTTCCAAAGTCAGCAGCACTTAATGGGTGGTAGCCAAGATTGTCACAATAGCTCCTGCAACAAAGAGAAAGAAAGCGTGAATGGAATCACAGTTAATATAAGAGGCCAGCCTGCATGCTACACTCCACCAAAGGTTTTCAAAAGAAAACATTTATACCCATCCATATTTAGAACCACATTTAACATTAATGAAGCTATCCACAACGAATTGAATGCATTAAAAATGTATAAACAGAGCTATTAATACCACAGTTTTTGCCTTGTTCTCTACTGAGTTCAAAGACAAGTCATGTGGAGACATAACAAGTAGTGGCATTATCTAGAGCACAGTTAAGATTTACTCCACAACTAACTTTGAAGCGTATGTTTCAATTCACTTCTTTTAGGACATAACAAAAGCAGAGACATTGTTCCAGCCAGAAGTATAGCTTGAGTGTGGTAAGGCCTAAAGTCCTGCAGGAATATTGCAAAAGCAGTAGGAAAGAGTTTGTCAGTGTCCAGAGAAAGATTCTGCCTACGCAAACTCAATTTAATACAGCTTAACAGAACTGAATTTAATAGAAGATATCTTCCCAGGGAACCAGCTTCACCTTTATAGGTGTAAGATAAACACGTACTGAGGACCCAGCCCTCTTACCACAGTACCGCTACTGAGCTATGAGAGCTGCTTAGTTACAGACATCCCTATATTCATTACCAGTCCTAAATTAATATAGATTTCAACTGCCTCTGCAAATGTAGATCTTCACGCGACTGAGTATACAACCTGATGATATAGTGGAATAAAGCAACAAAAGGTAATTGTTTTTCTAAGTTTACTTATTCCAGTAAAATGGGGACTGTTATCTGTCTTCAGTTCTCAAAAAGAGCAGAAGGAATTCTGTTTCAACATCTGTTCAGATGTTTCAATATCTGAGATATTTCAAAAACATCTCCTTGAGGCAGAGAACAAAAATCGTTGATTTTGCTGCAAAACAAGAATGTTCTGGAAAATCACAAAGGTGTGAAAGCAAACAAGAAAACCGGAAACGGCTCTGGGAGGTTTACCTGCACAGCAAGAGCTTAAGGCTGCACAAAGATACGAATGCCACATTGCCTTTTGTTCGAGAGCCTCATGGTATTTCACAGATCTTAATGTGCTAAGGCCTAAAACATGCCACTAAAATATTCTTGTTCGGATTTCCTACAGTCACAGAGTCAGCACCAGATAGCATGACCTCCTTTACCATGAGAAGTCCTACCAGCAGCAATGCACAAAACCACCCTGCCTCTGCAAAGAAGAGG